GTTTTCATATTTGTTAATTAATTTCTTAGATTAATTAAGAAGTTTTATATAATTTATATTTGAGTTTTATATTTAAATAAATAATGATTTAATACACATCAAATAAACACTTTCAGTATTTTTTAAAAATTGTCAGTTTTGTTTTAAGTGAGACATTATTAAAAAATTAATTAATATTCTTTATTTTGTTACAGATGGCTCGGTCTGTGCATGTGAAGCTACACCTAATAATCTTATATTATTAAAAGTTATTCCTGTATCCGCATCATCTTCTTCAAGCTTGAATGAAGCTTTTTCAATGATTAATACATCCGATTCAGAGATTATAAATTCACAGGGATTAAAACCAAGTCACAAAAATGAACAAAAGATGCTGTGCTCTTCTTAATTGATCAATGGCAAAAAATTCATCAAAATTTGCGAGTACAACTATTAGAAATGAAGAAGTATGGAAGAATATAGCTAAAGAACTAGAAAATGCACGTTTTATTGGATATACTTAGAAACAAACTCAAGAAAAAGGGAAAAATATGCGTAAAGCATATATGAAAGTAAAAAATAATAAGGGGGACAAATGCAGTTGCGCAGCAAGAAAATAACATGCAAATTTTATGATGAATTTGATGAAATTTTTACAAAGAGCCCAAGTGGTCAACCAATAAGTACTGCATCTTCTCGTAATCCCAAAACTTTGTTATGTGCAGATACCGATTCAGATTCTGACAAAGACATCAAAACACTCAAAAAAAGAAAACTAAGTTGCAGAAAGATACTTTCACATATTTATCAATCCTCAGAGAAGATTAATTATTGTTAATGTCAGGGAAACAGCTCGAGAGGAACGACATAAACAAACATTAAACGTTCTTAATAGAGTTATTGATTCTTATGAGGCTCAAATGCAAAAATTAATTGATAAATTATAAATACAAATTTTGCTAAAGATTTGCTTATTATATAGAACATTGATTTTTTATATTACTATGTAAACCCCGTTTTTTTCTATTTGAACACATTTCACTGGTGTGACTTTGTTTATGTGAAATCGTAATTTGCTCGTATTCTTCGTATTCTGATTCACTCTTGTCGTCTTTTACTTGTTGGACATTACACATTTTGTAAGTGGCTGCATGCATGGCTTCTCTTGCTTGAATAACATATATATGGCTGTGCTTAAATTGTATTCAAAATCAGTTTTAGCTTTTTCTGTTCTTCGAATTTATTTATTATGTATAAAATATATTACATTTGTCGTACGACAAATTTTGCAAAAGCAGTCCATTGATTTGTTATAGAACACAAGTTCTAGAGATTTGAAATTTTTTAAGTTTATTTTGAGACAAATGTAATATTTTACTCTAAGACTGAAAATAAATAGGTTTAAGTTTTAGTGATATATATATATATATATAAGAGTTTATACTTTTAATATCTATTACAATGTAAAACTAAAAAAATTAATGAATGATTTGTTTACATGGCCAATTGTTTTTTTTTAAAGAGAATTGTTACTTATGTAAAGATTTTACAATGTTTATTAATTGTTTTTAACAATATTGCTAAAAAATATTGCAATGTGATGGTAACAGTTACTTACTATATATTATTGTGATGTGCAATAACATTACAAATTATTATATTATCGTTGCTATAGTATTCTATAATAAAATAGCAAAAAGAGAAGTTATATACTATAATATATTGTATTATACTTTATTTCTGACATCCTTTCATCTTCTGTTATTTACTCTTTCTATTCTGTTTGACTTTAAAATAATTAATAGTTATTGCGTTATATATCTATGTTAATAACATATCTATTGCTATAGGTAAAGAGAAAATTTTAGTTAAATTACTACATTTTAGCTATCTTTATATATATAATATATTATATAAATATAATAGATGTGTATAAAAATAGAGTAAATATTTACACAATAATGTTTAAATATAATTTAAAAAATTTATTTAAAATGATACATTATGCATTGTTATTTATTATTATATATCTTACATCTGTATCATATATTAGCTTAAAATATGTAAAATAGCTCGAAATAAAAAGACACGTGTATATTTTTTTATTTCTGCGGAGTCGCACGTTTAGGGGTTGAAACAACCTCTACAAGCTGTAGCGGTCTATTTGATTTTAATTGAATATTGTCAAAACTATAATAGACATCAAAAACGTTTCAAATAAAAGTTGCATTCAGAAATAAATATTTTATCGGCTCTCAATATAAAGAATATAAGTATGCTGCCTTCTAAGCCGGGCAATAGAGCCAAGGAAACAAAACGAAAAATTAATTAAACGGAACTGTATCTCAATTTGAGATCCCAAAGTTCCACATATAAATTAATTTCGAAACTTACATATGGAGAAATAAGCGAGAAAAATATAGGTCCGAAAAGTCGCTGAAGCGGGAATCGAACCCGCGTCTTTCACTTTCCGGGCGACTGCTCTTACCAACTAAGCTATTCAGACCCTTTCGATCCCATATTTTTCATTTGCCTTTCATTTGCTTATTTCTCCATATGTAAGTTTCGAAATTAATTTATATGTGGAACTTTGGGATCTCAAATTGAGATACAGTTCCGTTTAATTAATTTTTCGTTTCGTTTCCTTGGCTCTATTGCCCGGCTTAGAAGGCAGCATACCAAAAGTTGCATTGTTTTTATATGTTTTTTAACCATATAGTTGAATTTTTTCCAAAAATTTTTTTTTTCAATTAAAAAAACTAAATTATTAATATATAAATCAAATGGACTGCTTTAGTTTCTAAGGTTTATTTTAACCCTTAAACATGTGACTCCGCAGAAATAAAAAATACGTGTGTCTTTTTTATTTCGAGCTATACTTTATAATATATTTAAAGCTTATTAAAATCAAAAGGGGACAGTTGTGTCACGTCCCTTGTAAAGCTAGATCTACATTAGTCGTATCGTAGCGTCGCAAGCGTCGTAAGCCTATAGTATACGTAATATACAAGTGATATCAAATGTATTTTATTTATAGCATTATCTAAATGTTTGAAATATCTTATTCAAATAGAAAAGGTAAAAGGGTGTCAGAAATAAAATAATATAGTATATAAAAATTTTATTTTTAATATTTTATTATAAAATACTATAGCAGAGAGCAAAGATCATGTAAAACATTTTTAATGTTATTGTACATCACAATAACACATAGCAAATAACTGTTATCATCTATTACAATATTTTTAGCAATATTGTTAAAAACAATTAATAAACGTTGTAAAATCTTTACATAAGTAACAATTCTCTTTAAAAAAAACAATTGGCCATGTAAACAAATCATTCATTCATTTTTTTTAGTTTTACATTGTAATAGAAATTAAAAGTATAAACTTATATATATATCATTAAAACTTAAACCTATTTATTTTCAGTCTTAGAATAAAATATTACATTTGTCGCAAAATAAACTTAAAAATTTCAAATCTCTAGAACTTGTGTTCTATAACAAATCAATGAACTGCTCTTGCAAAATTTGTCGTTCGACAAATATAATATATTTTTATACATAATAAATAAATTCGAAGAACAGAAAAAACTAAACTGATTTTGAATACAATTTAAGCACAGCCATATATGTTATTCAAGCAAGAGAAGCCATGCACGCGGCCACTTACAAAATGTGTAATGTCCAACAAGTAAAAGACGACAAGAGCGAATCAGAATACGAGCAAATTACGACATAAGCAAAGTTGCACAATCCGGTGTGAAGTGTGTTCAAATAGAAAAAAAACGGGGTTCACATATAGCAGTATAAAAATCAATGTTTTCTATCAATGTTCTATATAATAAGCAAATCTCTTGTAAAATTTGTATTTGAAATTTAGCAATTAATTTTTGCATTTCAGCTTTATAAGAATCAATAGCTCTATTAAGAACGTTTAATGTTTGTTTATGTCGCTCCTCTCGAGCTGTTTCCCTGACATTAACAATAATTAATTCTTCTCTGAGGATTGATAAATATGTGAAAGTATCTTTCCGCAACTTAGTTTTCTTTTTTTGAGTGTTTTGATGTCTTTGTCAGAATCTGAATCGGTGTCTGCACATAACAAAGTTTTGGGATTACGAGAAGATGCAGTACTTATTGGTTGACCACTTTGGGCTCTTTGTAAAGATTTCATCAAATTCATCATAAAATTTGCATGTTATTTTCTTGCTGCGCAACTGCATTTATCCCCCTTATTATTTTTTACTTTAATATATGCTTTACGCATATTTTTGGCCATTTTCCATTTTTCTTGAGTTTGTTTCCAAGTGTATCCAATAAAACCTGCATTTTCTAGTTCTTTAGCTATATTCTTCCATACTTCTTCATTTCTAATAGTTGTACTCGCAAATTTTGATGAATTTTTTGCCATTGATCAATTAAGAAGAGCACAGCATCTTTTGTTCATTTTTGTGACTTGGTTTTAATCCCTGTGAATTTATAATCTCTGAATTGGATGTATTAATCATTGAAGAAGCTTCATTCAAGCTTGAAGAAGATGATCCAAATACAGGAATAACTCCTACCAATGTAAAATTGTTAGGCGTAGCTTCACGTGCACAGACTAATCCATCTGTAAATAAAGAATATTATTGTAGTTTGTTTTTTTAATAACGTCTCTTAAAATGCAACTGATAATTTTAAAGAAAATGCTTATTTAATGTATTATTTGTTTTTAATAAAGCAATATATACATTTTTATTGTTACTGCCTGCCAGCAATTTGAAGGCACAAATAGTTACGTTTTACTTCGCCGTCAACACATTCTTGTTCTCTATTATTGTGTTCTATATCTTCCCTCTCATTATTTTCCTCTTGATGTAATTCTCTTCCTTCTTCTATAAACTCTTCCACATCATCATCAATGCCATCCAAGCAGATATTATGAAGAACGCAGGCCGCAATAATAAAATATGGTATTAAGTCCAGGCGTGACATATCAAGAAACTTAAATCGCCTAAATCTTCCTTTTAATAGAGCAAAAGCTCTTTCTACAACTTGTCGCTTTTGTGATATTGCAGTGTTGAATTTTTTCTGCTGCTGAAATAAACAATTACATAAATAAAAAAATATATTAAGCAAAACATTTCTTAAAGATAATACATCTTTAGACTTACTTGTGTGAGGCGCTCATTGTTTCTAAATGGGGGAATACACCATGTTAAAACAGGATAGGCTTTATCGCCAATAATAAATTCTCCATCAGGAAAAAAAACAGAGGGATCTCTACAAACTTCTCTATATAAATCTGAATTGCGAAAAACTCTGTAGTCCCCAACTGACCCTGAATAACCAGCAAAACAATCAGTGAAAAGTAAATTTGCATTACAGATAGCTTGAAGAACTACAGCATACTGTAGCTTTCGGCATTTGTAGTGAATAGCAAATTCCTATAAAATAAAAATTAAGTAAAAACTATATATATATATTAATTTCTTTATTAAATAACACAAAATGTAAATAACAAATATTTAAAAGAGAAAATACCTCAATATCTGATTTTTTTATAAATATAAAAGTGCCATCGATGGCTCCCACTATGCCAGGTATAGGGGTTTGTCCAATAGACATAAACTTCTCCTTTGAAGTTATTAAGTTTTGGCCTGTAGGCCATACAATTATTTCATTTGCAATGCTGTACAATAATTTAACAACACGACGCACACAGTCGTTCAAAGAAGATTTGCCCAAATCAAATTTTTCGCTCACAGATCTGAAAAGAACAATTTATAAAAATAAAATTTCTTAACGATATTATAAACACTGCTATTTATATTTAACTATTATGTATATAAAATACCATATACCTGAAAGAATCTGGTGTGCTAAGTAGCCAGATTGTTGATAAAAGCTGTGTACGTACAGGTATCATTGGACGTCCTACAGTTTCGACATTAGATAATGACGGTCCAAGACGATTTTCAAGAATTTCAAAAACTTCAGGCAGCATTCGAAAATGATGCCGAAATTGCTTTGTCGTGTAACGAGGAATTATATTATTCACGTAACCTGTTATCCGGGCAGGTTTCTGTTGTTTTCCTCGGATTCGTTGGATATTTTCGACTAAAAGAGTTTCACTAAAATCATTATCACTTTCTACACTTTCAGTTTCCTCTGTTATATTTTGTATAATTTTTGTTAGTATTTCTAATAAATGGTGACTACTTATTATAAGTGAAAATATTATTTGATTTCGCCGAACAGTCGCCATTTTACTTGTTTACCTTGTACGTTCGGAAAATCGCCTAACTCGGTATTACCCAGCCGGGTTTCTGCTTTAACCCTGCCTTAACTCTACCCCACGGGTAGGATTTCCGAACGCAGCCCATGCTGGAGCTGGTGTTTTGGTGCCGTGATTTAACCGCCTCGAGGTATGTATTTTTCGAATTATCTATGAATAATTTTAGCTTATTTGCGTGTATTCTTATCGTCCGTCTTCCCTTTTTTATTGTATAATTGACGTCGGAGTTCTTTTCAATTATCGTATACGGTCCTGTCCATAAGGTGTCAAGTTTCTTTGACCGTTCTCGTCGTAGCGTCTCATCGTACATCAGCACTTTTTCGCCGACTTTAAATTTTGTTTCCTTCGCGTTTTTATCATAATACATGGTTTGTCCGGAAAATAAGTGTACTGAGCTCGGGAAAAAAAATTTATTGTACTTTTCCATACTTTAAGCTAATATTCCTCAAAATAGGACCCTTGTGAATCGATACACTTGTCCCAGCGGCGTTCCCATTCCTGGAACGCTCTCGCGAAGGCATCATCGGGGACCTCTCGAAGACACGTCGTCACGGCCTCTTTGACGGCGTCCAAAGTCCCGTAACGCGTTCCTTTCAAACTCCTCTTTATCTTGGGGAACAGAAAGAAGTCCGGTGGTGCCAAGTCCGGGCTGTAGGGCGGGTGCGGCAGCGTTACCACGCCGTGCTTGGTCAAGAACTCCGACACGACAAGCGCGGTGTGAGACGCATGCCTAATTGGTCCCTAATAATCTCGTGCACTATTGTTTTTGGCATATTACACTCCTCTGCTATCATCCGAACACTAAGACGACGATCAGAGTTCAGTTTATCGCGAATTTTTTGCACATTTTCGTCGGTGAGTGTCGTTGATGGGCGTCCAGGCCGTGGTTCGTCGTCGACCTCTTCTCTGCCCTCCACGAACATCTTGTGCCACTGAAAGATCATGTTTCTGGACATGGCTGACTCCCCGTAAGCCTGGTTAATCATACCGACAGTTTCGGTAGGCGATTTCCCAAGCTTTACCGCAAATTTGATGGAATAACGCTGCTCCAAAAACTTCGGCATCGCGTTCCGTGACGTGGGTCGAGCGTAGAGGTTCGCGTTAACGGAGCTCCTCACTACACCACAGCTCAGAGCCGGCTGCCGTTTTCAGCGTCGCTTGTCAACATACCCCCCTTCACTCCCAGCCCGTCAGAGCGGTGCTGGGCGCGCCTGGAGCGGCGGGAAAAATCAGTACACTTATTTTCCGGACAAACCATGTATTTCTTTGCTTTGATTTTTTCTTCCTGAACGCGATTTTTTGCGATCTGCTGAGTGGCTCTCAGCCTTTCCCTAAGTTCCTGGACGTAATCGTCATAGCTATAGATCATTTTCGGCGGTTTTGTCAATGCTGTCGGTAAATTTGCTTGATGATCGTATATTAATTCGAAAAGCGTATAACCCGTTGCTATATGCGGGGTCGTATTATTAGCAAACATTGCGTACGGTGTCCATTCGTCCCAGTCTGTCTGATTAGCGTCGATATAATGTCTAAGGTATTTGGCTAATGTTTTATGTGATCGTTCTAGTGCTCCATTCGTTTCCGGATGATATGCGGTTGTTTACAGCTTTTCGATTTTTAGTAATTTGCAAGTATTTTTAAAGATTACGCTTAGAAAATTTGTTCCCTGATCTGTCAGAATTTTATTTGGAATTCCGTGTTCGAGAATTATTTTCGTTACGAATTCTTTTGCGATTGTTCCGGCCTCCTGGTTCGGTATCAGTATTGCCTTGCTAAATTTTGTTAAGCTGTCTTGGAATGTTAGTAAATATTAATTTTCGTTTCTAGTTACCGTTAGTGGTCCTACTATATCTAATGCACATTTCTCAAATGGTTCATCCGGTGTGTCAGTAATTATTAGTGGCGCTTTATTTTTTCGTGACGATTAATTTTTTTGGCACGACTCACATTTTGCAATATGCTTTTCGACGTCTTTTTTCAGATCTGGCCAATTATGCAGTAGGCGAATTCGTTAAATTGTTCTTTCGATACCTTGGTGTCCTCCGATCGGCGCGTTATGATATTCGTAAAGTATTTGCTTTTTTCTTCTGTGTATATTTTTTCGTTGGATTTTCTTTCTCTTTCTCCTTTTCTATCTTAAAGATCTCTTCTTTTCTTTCTTCTTGACTGGCATTTCTTGTTACGTTTCGACTTAGTGCGTCAGCGTTTGCGTTCGCTCGTCCGGCCTTATGTATGATTTTGTAATCATATTCTTCTAATTTTATTTTGTAATCATATTCTTCTAATTTTATTTTGTAATCATATTCTTCTAATTTTAATCTCCATCGGATTAATCTTGAACCGGGGTCATTAACGCTAAAGAGCCATACCAACGGTTTGTGATCCGTTATAATTTTAAACTTAGTTCCGTAAACATATAGTCAAAAATGTTTCACGGCTCACACGATCGCGAGTAGTTCTTTCTCGGTCGTGTTATAATTTTGTTCCGCGTGCGATAATATTCTGCTTGCGTATGCAGTTGGTCGGTCGTTACCTATCGGGCCCTGGGAGAGCACGGCTCCGATTGCATAGTCGGAAGCGTCCGTGGTTACGTTGAATTCCTTATGGAAATCGGAATACTGTAATACAGGTGCCGTCGTTAATTTTTCTTTTAACATGTTGAACGCTATCTGCTGTTCGTTATTTCACGCAAAGGTTACGTTTTTCTTTGTCAATTTTGTTAGAGGCTTCGCGATTTTTGAAAAGTCTTGTATAAACTTACGATAATATCCAGCTAATCCAATGAATGACTGGATGTCTTTTACCTTTTTTGGCGTCGGAAAGTCCTTTATCGCTGTTAATTTTGATGAGTCAGGCAGGAGATATTCCGTCTTCAGAGATAATGTGTCCTAGATGTATTACCCCTTTCTGCAGAAATTCGCATTTATCTGGCTGCAGCTTCAGATTGTGTTCTCGTAATCTCTGCAAGATTTCCACAAGTCTTTTATTATGATCTTCTAAGTTTAATCTGTATATGACGATGTCGTCGAAATATACAAAACATCTGAGCCCTTGAATTCCGGTCAAGACTGAATTCATTAGCCGTTGAAAGATCGCGGGTGCATTTTTCAGTCCAAATGGCATCCGATTCGTAATGTCCGTAGGGGGTTGAAAAGGCTGTCTTGCTTTTATCTTGCTCCGCCATTGGTATCTGGTGGTATCCTGATGCCAGATCCAGAGTGGTGAAGTACTTGGCGTTTCCCAGTTGATCCATAATGTCCGTGATATTTGCTATCGGGAACGAGTCGCCTATCATAAGGTCATTTACTTTTCAGAAGTCTACTCTCAGTCTCGGTTTTCCGGATGCGTCAGCTTTTTCGACACTACTAATAGCAGATCGTTCCATTGATTTACGCTTGACCTGATAATGCCGGCATCTAGCATCTCTTTAATCTGTTTATTTACTTCCGCTTAATGCTTTTCCGGCAGGTAGTACGGTCGTACGTTGACCAGTGCTGAGTCGGCACGTGTGGCTATCTCATGCTCCACGGTCGCAGTGCAGCTCAGTGGTTCTCCATTTAAAAGAAATAAATCGCAGTATTCTTCGCATATCCTGTGTATAGTCTGTCGTTCTTCCGAGTTGAGATGCTCTGTTTGTAATAGTTGTCTTATTTTCCGGTTCCTTTTGCTCGAGTATTTCAAGATTTCTGTTTGTGTGAAGTTTATGTCACGCGTTGTTTCCATATTAATTTTATCTATGGTTATTAATGGTGTTCGTAATTCGATGATTTTATTAGTCGTATTTATAACGCTAATTGGGCACACGTAGTTTTCCGGTTGCACGAGGCATCGTTCTATATAGACACCGGGTGTAGTTTCTTCGGCTCTTACGAGCTCTTCCTGCGCTATTTTTATTTGTGGCGGCTCGAATAATCGTTTCGCTGCGCTGACGGCGTCTCCTATAGTGAGTTCCCGTTTTTTGAAATTGCAGTTAACTCCCTGTTTCTACAAAAATCTATCCGGAGAATTCCTTCGTATTCCATGGGAAAATCGTCTTTGACGACGTAGATTGTGTGCTTTATCTTCCGGTTGCCTATGTCAAATGTCGCATGTGTCTTTCCTATTGTCCGCGCTTTGTGTCCCGTAATGCTATGATAATTTTTCCTTTATATAAAAGCGTCGTCTTTTAAATATTTAAGTTTTATTAATTAAATAGTGGCCCCTGAATCGAATAGCATTTTAACTGTGCCATTCTGAACTTCGCGCATTGGTAGTGTAATTAAATCTAAACCTGCGGTCTCTTGTAGTGTTGGTCGTATGTGTGATACGCGATACTTGATTGCGCGTGCCGGGGTCTCTCCTTCGGGATTTGTTTTTCGTGACCTACCCTCTTTTCGGTCGTCTTCCGATTTTTCTGTGCAATTTTCCCTTATGCATCTGTGCCTTGCGCTTATTAGATTTATCCGCCTTAGTCACTTTATTTTTTCCGTTGACGAGCTAGCATTCTTTGCAAAGGTGTCCACATTTTTTGCAATGCTTGCAAAACTTTGCTACAGCTGTCACGCGGGCTAACTTTTCCAATTTCGGAGGCGCGTATTTACTACTACGGCATTCTCGCCCGATGTGGCCTAGTTTTCTGCATTTATAACAGGTATTTTTTCCGATATTTTGCAATGACAATTTTATATCCCGTTAGTTATTTTTAGTTGATCGGATCGCGTTGGCGTTCCTGACATTTTCCTCCGCTATTGCTGCGTTGATAGCATCCTTCAATGTACGATAATCCCGTGACCTAACGATGGTTTATATTTTCTTATTTCCTTACGTAGTCCCGTCTGGAAGTTATGTAACGCCTGACCTTGTATCGTGTTGAGGATAACGCGTTTTTTGTCGTGCAGCGCGCTCGTCTCTCGATCATTGATTTGTAAAGCTCCATCGCGAGTTCCGAAAGCTTGTGAGTCTTCGTTTGCTTTTTGTTTAAGGGAATGAAACTCAATTTGTAAATGAGTAGTCGTATGCTTGCTTTGATATGTTGATTCTAATTGCCTTT